ATAAGTTGGGAAGGTTGCTTGGAATTCGTCTGCCTCGGGAGACAATTGAAGAGTGCACCTTTGAGGGCAAAGTCAAATTGTTGAAGAGTTACAGTGCCTGCTGTGGCTGTAAAGGTAAAGGTAAAGGGACCCCTGACCATTAGGTCCAGTCGTGGCCGACTCGGGGGTTGCGGTGCTCATCTCACTTTATTGGCCGAGGAATCTGGTGTACAGCTTCTGGGTCATGTGGCCAGCATGACTAAGCCGCTTCTGGCAAACCAGAGCAGCGCACGGAAATGCCGTTTACCTTCCCGCCGGAGCGGTACCTATTTATCTACTTGCACTTTGACGTGCTTTCGATCTGCTACGCTGGCAGGAGCAAGGACCGAGCATCGGGAGCTCACCCCGTCGCAGGGATTCGAAATTCCGACCTTCTAATCGGCAAGTCCTAGGCTCTGTGGTATAACCTACAGCGCCACCCACATCCCTGTTGCGGCTGTAGGGCCTTGTAAATTCATGCAAGAACCTTGGACCTAGGGCATTAATGTATGGGCAGCCCGTGGAGGCTGTTGAGAACCAGGGTTATGTGCTGGGCGATAGCTGGTCTCCAACTACAGTCTAGCCACCAAGCTGGAGCCTCTGGATCTGGTGCAAGGGCAGCCCCATGTACAGCACATGGCAATAATCGAGTCACCATGGCCTGATTATCCAATAATGGCTGCAGTTGGTATACCAGCCATAGCTGGTCAACGGGACTCCTAGCTACTGAGGTTCTCTTAAGAGCATTTATGTAGTGCTTCACCAACCGGGTGCTCTCCCAAAGGTTTTGGACTACAATTCCCCTCAGCTCCAGCCAGCTGTCATTGGACAGTGTCCTTGCTACCACCACCTTATCTGGACACACATGTTTCTATTACCCCATGATTCCCCCTGAAAACAGCAGGAAAGAACTGTAGGCCACTACCTCAGATTTCTTTTTATATTTATATATCTAATTTTTATTAAATTTTCTCTTTTACAATTTAGAATATTCATTTAACCAACCTTAAAATATCAATGACTTCCCTTCTTCTCCTTCCATGGTTTAATCTGCGTAACACAAATCCCTGCATATTTTAAATAAACCAATCCATTCAGCATTCCATTATTACATCCATCAAAACTTATTTAAACCATTGAATTTATCTTAATGCTTCCAACGTTTTCTGCCAGTACCTCAGATTTCATCTCTTTACTCTCAGGATTTTTCAGGTTGAGGCAGCTGCAAACAGACCCCCCCCCCCCCCCGGAATCGAATAACACATAAAACATAGAATAATAGAACTGTAGAGTTGGAAGAGATTCTGATGAACATCTAGTCCAACTCCCTGCAATGGAGGGATCACAATAACTTCAGTAAGTGCTAAACATGCACTATGTTCCGTTAGTTTTCTGGAAGTAGCATTTATGTCATGTGAAAGTTCAAACACAAAGGATTAAACCACAGAGCCTAGGACTTGCTGATCAGAAGGTCATCGGTTTGAATCCCCGTGACGCGGTTCCTAGCAGTTCGAAAGCACGTCAAAGTGCAAGTAGATAAATAGGTACCGCTCCGGCGGGAAGATAAACGGTGTTTCCGTGCGCTGCTCTGGTTCACCAGAAGCAGCTTTGTCATGCTGGCCACATGACCCGGAAGTTGTACGCCAGCTCCCTCGGCCAATAAAGCGAGATGAGCGCCGCAACCACAGAGTCGGTCATGACTGGACCTAATGGTCAGGGGTCCCTTTACCTTTTCCTTTTTTACAGTTAGGAAAAAATCAGGAAAGCAGGAAAAGCTGTCGAGCGGATGCAGTTTATATCTGGGTTTCCATGGTTCACCATCCAAGGATCACCAGGCCACACATACTACTACTACTACTACTACTAATAATAATAATAGTAAATTATTTATACCCCACCCATCTGCCTGGGTTTCCCCAGCCACTCCGGGCAGCTCCCAACAGAATATTAAAAACATGATAAAATATGAAACATTAAAAACTCCCTAAACAGGGCTGCCTTCAGATGTCTTCTAAAAGTCAGATAGTTGTTTGCAGTGGTACCTCTGGTTAAGTACTTAATTCGTTCTGGAGGTCTGTACTTAACCTGAAACTGTTCTTAACTTGAAGCACCACTTTAGCTAATGGGGCCTTCTGCTGCTGCCATGCCACCGGAGCACAATTTTTGTTCTCATCCTGAAGCAAAGTTCTTAACCTGAAGCACTATTTCTGGGTTAGCAGAGTCTGTAACCTGAAGTGTATGTAACCTGAAGCGTATGTAACCCGAGGTATCATTGTATTTCCTTCACATCTGATGGGAGGGCATTCCACAAGGCGCATTAAGTTCTCCCAGACCTCTCACCTGGCCATTGGCCTCTCTCTTTCAATCGTCAGCCAAACATCGAAATTCCAAGCCACCGGCCCACAACAAGCAATTGGCATCCTTAATCTTGACTGCCATCGTCTAATGCCTTTCTCCGTGCCTATTGTTCCCAGATTTGCCTGAGCTTGATGGACAGGAGGCTGCTGGCTGGGGTGGGGGAGGGGAACCAATTTCCACAGAATTTGGCTTTAATTATAAAACCTGCGTAGCCAACTGGAAAATTAAGAGCTGTCTTTGTCTTGGATTTATTAAAGCTGAAGTGGTCTTTGCAAGATACCTCCTAACAGGCAGGCAAACCAGAAATAAATGATGGGTTTGGGGAAGTTCTTGTTTTACTCCGTACAAGAACGCAGTAATTAATGACATTGTTGTGGGCGAGGAACAATTGTCGGCGAACGGCTGTCATAACACTCAAATTAGTCTGCTGAGTTTTTAATTAATGTGAGCTATTACTTCCCCCCCATTTATATCCTCCCCTAAATCACCATGTTTGTTTATTTGGTTAAATAGATGCTCTCATTTCATACTAAACCTGCGCCCTCTTACTACTATGGATATGTCATTTAAAATATTGGAAGGGTCTTTGCTGCTTCGAGTCTTGTGACTTAGATTTGTGTGGTTGAGGAATACAGGGTTGGAGAACCTGAAGTCCTCCAGATGTTGTTGGACTACCGTTCCCATCACCCCCCAGCCACTGACCATCATTGATGGCTGATGGGAGTTTAAGTCAAGTAACACCTGGAGACCCCCAGTTTCCCCAATCCCTGGAACAAGGTCTCCTTTGTGGAACAGTGCTTAAGGGAGAACTGACCCATGAGCAGCAATTTGGGATGTGTGAGGATTGAGGGGGATGCGGGTGGAGCTGTGGTCTAAACCACAGAGCCTAGGGATTGCCGGTTAGAAGGTCGGCAGTTCGAATCCCTGCGACAGGGTGAGCTCCCGTTGCTTGGTCCCAGCTCCTGCCCACCTAGCAGTTTGAAAGCACATAAAAGTGCAAGTAGATAAATAGGTACCGCTCCGGCAGGAAGGTGAACAGCATTTACATGCGCTGCTCTGGTTCGCCAGAAGTGGCTTAGTCATGCCACATGACCCAGAAGCTGTCTGCGGACAAACGCTGGCTCCCTCGGCCTATAGAGTGAAAAACCTGAAAAATCAAAATAAAATTTGAAAAACCTGAAAAATCAAAATAAAAAAGAAGAAGAAGAGAAAGAGAAAACTTAATCTGAGTTTTGCAATCTGGAGGGCGGCAACTGCTGTTTTCGACACCAACAAAGAGCTTAGCAGAGAGATGGTTCTGCTTGAATTATCCTACCGGTATCATCCTCTTCCTGCATTTGGTTTGTCCAATTTCTGCTGCTGGCTCTCGAGAAATTTATTTTGGAATCCATAGGTGGCCAATGCCTTCGATTAGCCCAAGCAGAGCGTCACAAAATAGCAGGTGAGCTTTTGACTTTCCTAGAAGGCTTTTTCAGGCTGGATGTTAAGCAAAGAGAGGAAGAAGTGAGGGAGACAGTGAAGCTGGCTTTGTCTTAAAGCCATAAGGTCTGCATTGGTCTTAAGATGGAGAGTCGAAAGAGGTAACAGACTTGATAGATTAGAAGCTATGCAGGTGTCAGGTTACATCTATGGAAATTGGAATGAAGAAAAAGAGAATGTCCGGTGTCTGAAAACCGATTGCAAGACTTTCCTGATGAGTGATTGGCTTCGCAGCTTATTGATTCTTCCAAGCTCCTTCTATCAATAGCTTCATTATTTCAACAGGCAATCAGGCAGAAGGCCTCAACAACAACAACAACCCCCTCCTTTAAGCTTCTAGGGCTTGTTTTAATTATGAGATGGTAACTTAAGCTTTCCTAATACCCTAGAAACATCTCAAATACAGTCATACCTCGGGTTACAGACGCTTCAGGTTGCGTTTTTTCGGGTTACAGACGCGCCAAAACTTGGAAGTACCAGAATGGATTATTTCCGTTATTTCGGCGCTCGAGCATGTGCAGAAACACTAAATCACACTTTGTGCATGTGCAGAAGTGGCGAGTCGCAACCTGCACGTGTGCAGACGCAGCGCTGTGGGCTGCGAACACTGCGGGTTGCGAACGTGCCTCCCGCACGGATCACGTTCGCAACCCGAGCATCCACTGTACAAGTTTTTAAAGATCAAATGAAATTCATTTATTTGTTTCTAGTCATCAAAGGTAAAGGAAAAGGGACCCCTGACCATTAGGTCCAGTCGTGACCGACTCTGGGGTTGTGGCGCTCATCTCGCTTTATTGGCTGAGGGAGCCAGCGTACAGCTTCCAGGTCATGTGGCCAGCAGGACTAAGCCACTTCTGGCGAACCAGAGCAGCGCACGGAAACGCTGTTTACCTTCCCGCTGGAGCGGTACCTATTTATCTACTTGCACTTTGACGTGCTTTTGAACTGCTAGGTGGGCAGGAGCAGGGACCGAGAAACGGGAGCTCACTCCGTCGTGGGAATTCAAACTGCTGACCTTACGATCGGCAAGTCCTAGGCTCTGTGGTGTGACCCACAGCGCCACCCATGTCCCACCTTCTAGTCATTAGGCCATGAGAAAAAGAAGATTGGAAGAAATTTAAAGATTATTTACAGAAATATTGTAAAATTAAGGAATCTTAGAAGGATGTTGGATAGAAACTAAGTGGTTTCCAGCTGTAATGCTTTAAGAGATACGAAAAAAGGTTTACAAATGGGTAAAAGCTTAATGGTAAGGATTTGCTGAACTAACAAACTGAACTGGAATACAAAAAAGGGAGGTATGAGGAGGTCCAGGGAAATAAGTGTAAGGAAGATATGCTATGGAAAGTTAACGTGTTTTTAACTGTTTTTATCTTGTATGTTTTTCTTTATTTTTCTTTTTTTTGTTATATCTTAAAAACTTTATTCTTTTTTCTGTATTTTGTATTTTCTTGTATTTTTATTTTTTGTTTTTGTATTCTTTGAAACTTTAATAAATATCATTTTAAAAAAAAGAGAAAAAGAAACCAGTTTAACAATATAAAAGTTTTTTGTTTTTTTTTAAGGCAACAGAAATAGAAACTAACTTGGACACAAAGAAGCTACAGCATGAACAAATTCGGAATGCTTATTTCCTTGGCAAATCACATCTTGCTAGCTATTTATTTTTTAAAGGAGGGAATTAAAAGTAGCAGGCAGCTGACTGCTCTCCAACCTAAATGCCAAGGATTTCTTTGGAATTCCCTTCCAGTATGTAGAAAGACAGTTCAATACAGTAAGCAAATGAATCATAAAGCATCACTCTCCTGTCGGAAATAAACGAGCCCTGGTCCTAAAATATGGAGACATCTAAAGCCCATCATTTTCACATCCCCCGTTTTGCATTGAGTATTTCCTTTTCGCTGCTCGTGCAACATACTGTCATTCCGAAGGGAACCTGAAATGCCAGCGAAATCTCTGGCTGCAACTGGAGAAGCTTAAGCAATCCATGCAGTCACTATATAACGTCTGATTTACAGATCATGGTGCAGCAGCTCTAAATACAGAGTTAAAGAGTGTGAGGTTTCAAGCTCCCTGGGCAAGATAAGTTATCTCCAGTACAGGTGGCGAGGCAGATAATTCGCTGCATTAATTTCTGACTCCGGAGCCCTTATTAAAACATATTTTTGCAATAAAATCCCAGGTGACACGGGGCTGACTCAACACCAGTAGGCATCTGCCAGCCACACGTCGGTCAACAGCAAAGAGAGGAAATGGACACATTGTCAATTTTACATTGAGGGAAACTGGAGGCAGCAGCCAGCTATTTTCCTTTATTATGATTATTATTTTTAAATGGGTCATGCCAAGAGTGGGTGATTTGGTTTGATTTTTTCTATTTCAATGCAGCTTGCAAACCATAAATAACAATAGCATAACAGACCATCACAACTACAGCATAGACCATATAAAATAATTATTCCAATCTACAAAAGAAAAACCCTATTAACTAAGCAGCAACAAAAAAAAAATAAGATAAACATTACAACTGCAGCAAAAGTAATATTCTGTTATTAACGGATCAATACGCCATTTATAATCTATAAAACAATATTAACAAAATAGCAACTAAAAAAAATAAGCTAAGTCCTTTTAAGTTCATGCAGATAGTCTCAATGCCCCCATGACTCATAATCTTTTTAAAAAAATAGTATTTTTATTAAGTTTTCAACAAAAGTGAATAAAATAATTAAATAAATAAAATGAAAAAATAAAAAATAAAAACAAACAGTAACAAATGCAATAATATCCACAAACAAAGAAAAATATACATAAAACCATACCACGTCCATAAAGTGGGGTTCTCCGAATCCCATGACTTCCCTCCCCCCCCCCATTTCTGGTTCCCTAAATTTCTTATCAAGTGCATATCATTTCATAATCTTGATGATGCCTGTTGTTAAGCCAGCTCAGCCAGACACTAGACTCAGCTACATTAGTAAAAAAAAAAAAACACAATTATCGTTTTAAATGCGTTATAAACATGCAACACCAGATGGCACTCTAGAGCACAAAACTTTTCTATGCAATTTTACATAAAGCTTCTTTTTCCTTTGTTGTAATGATTTAACTTAAGACTTATTTATAACAGTTTTTCCTGTGTGTAGATCCACCCACTGGGCTGGCTGGGCAGGGGACCATGGTGGAGACAGGGGTGCATAGGGCTCTGCAACTGCTCTGGCCAAATTTCAGATTCCGAATCTGATTGGGCTGGTTGGCATCTTCCAAGGATTCAGCCAGAGCAAGCTGAGGCAGCTCTGGAATGGCTGAGGTCAGCTCAGGCCCACCTGGAGCAATCCAGGTCTGTCAAAAGGGAGGTGGTGCAGCAACAAGGAGGAGAAAAGGCAAGAGAAAGAAGGCAGCTTACCTGCAGCTCCTTCTCCCACACTCTCCCAACTGCATGTTTAATTCGTGTTTCATACCCCAATTAAGCACTGTGCAAGGTCCCAATTCAGTTCAGGGCTCAGGGAAAGGCTGGCCTGGCCTCAAATTGGATTGAGGATGCTCTAAAGTGCTGGACTAGATCCAGATCAAACTGAAGAGGGGCTCTGTTCAGCCTTAGTGTGTAACTTTTTTGCCCCATGAGCCACATGTTTCGTTTAAAAAAATTCTCTTCAAATAGCACCTGACTTGACCCAAAGATACCAGGTCAATTCTGTGTCCAGGGCAGCTGTCTACCAGCTCCAACTGTTACACAGGCTGAGACCCTACCTGCCCACAGACCATCTCGCCAGAGTGGTGCATGTTCTTGTTATCTCCCGCTTGGACTACTGCAATGCACTCTACGTGGGGCTATCTTTGAAGGTGACCCAGAAACCACAACTAATCCAGAATGCGGCTGCAAGACTGGTGACTGGGTGTGGCCACCAAGACCATATAGTACTGGCCCTGAAAGACCTACATTGGCTCCCAGTATGTTTCCGAGCACTGACCTTTAAAGCCCTAAACGGCCTCGGCCCAGTATATCTAAAGAAGCATCTCCACCCCATCATTCAGACCGGACATCGAGGTCCAGCTCTGGGGGCCTTCTGGTTGTTCCCTCCCTGCAAGAAGGGAACCAGGCAGAGGGCCTTCTCAGTAGTGGCGCCCACCCTGTGGAACACCCTCCCATCAGATGTCAAGGAAATAAACAACTATTTGACTTTTAGAAAACATCTGAAGGCAGCCCTGTTTAGGGAAGTTTTTAATGTTTAATGTTTTATTCTGTTTTTAATCTGTTGGGAGCCGCACAGAGTGGCTGGGGAAACCCAGCCAGATGGGAGTATAAAGAATAAATTGTTGTTGTTGTTGTTGTTGAAAATGGCCAAGCTCCACAATTTCACATCAATCTGGGGAGTAGGGATGGAAAAATCAGTCACTTTTGGTTTCTCTAAGTTTCTGGTTTTTCCAATAATGATTCTCTTTGTGTGTTATTTTAACAAACATACACATTTGTATGCATACTTTACCCTGGTATATGCTTTTTTTGCACACATTACTTGGCTGGAGAACTGCACTACAATATTCAGAAATGCGCAAATTTCAAAGGATGGGCATTTTCAGTTTGCCTGTTGTTTCGGGAAGTGTGCATCAGGTAAGTTCACCTTAAAATGAAAACTGAACCAGATTTTACCCCCATCACTAGCTTCAAACTAGAGAATGCTTAGATGAGAAGGCCCATTTTTTTTGGAGGGGACTTGAAAATTAGGGGGGGGGCTGTCTAGTGTGGCTAATGTTTGCCAAAATACAGGAAAATGGGATCAGAGGTTTTTGTTTGGGGCACCTTTAAACTTCTATTTGTGGTGATCTAAAAGAGGAGAGACATCACCTTGCCAACAAAGGCCCGTATAGTTAAAGCTATGGTTTTCCCAGTAGTGATGTATGGAAGTGAGAGCTGGACCATAAAGAAGGCTGATCGCCGAAGAATGGATGCTTTTGAATTATGGTGCTGGAGGAGACTCTTGAGAGTCCCATGGACTGCAAGAAGATCAAACCTCTCCATTCTGAAGGAAATCAGCCCTGAGTGCTCACTGGAAGGACAGATCCTGAAGCGGAGGCTCCAATACTTTGGCCACCTCATGAGAAGAGAAGACTCCCTGGAAAAGACCCTGATGTTGGGTAAGATTGAGGCCACAAGGAGAAGGGGATGACAGAGAACGAGATGGTTGGACAGTGTTCTCGAAGCTACCAGCATGAGTTTGACCAAACTGCGGGAGGCAGTGGAAGACAGGAGTGCCTGGAGTGCTCTGGTCCATGGGGTCACGAAGAGTCGGACACGACTAAATAACTAAACAAAAACAACAAAAGAGATTAGATCTTCCCTGTACAAATTCTCCACCCTCGCATTATACTGTTATGGTGAGCTTAGAGACATTGCTTTTGCTCTTAACAGACTTTGTCTGCAGCATTTAAATAATAATAATGTGTGGATTACTATGAAACACTTTGAAGGTCCCGGTTTCTACTTATTTTGCATTGTGCAAATCCCATTACATAATTGACAAGCCCCAAATGCCTCCAAGGCCCCCCACTTCAGCTTGGGATTCATCTGAATTCAATGCACAACCTTATTAAATATGTTTTTCATCTCAGTGCATGCATTTCTGAAGGTATCTGTTCCTAAAATATGCATTTTGATACATTTATTGAGCTGAGAAGTGCGTTGCACAATTCAGAAAAGAGCAAAATCTATAGGGTTCTGATCTGCACATACCGTATTGGCCCGAATATAAGCCTCAGTTTTTCCCCAGATTCCGACCGTGAAAAGTTAAAGTGCGGCTTATATTTGAGACCTAACGATATACAGCCATGAGTGCAATGCAAACAGTGCCAGGAGCACGGCAAAGCGGTGTCTGCCCTGTGCATAGTCCCCCATCCTCTTCCCCAAGGCTTACATTCGGGTATTTTTTCTTTTTTTCTCCCCCCCCCCTCCAATTTTAAATGTGCAGCTGATATTCTGGTGCAGCTTATATTCGGGCCAATACGATACCTGAAGAAGCGTCTCCACCCCCATCGTCCAGCCCGGACACAGAGGTCCAGCTCTGAGGGCCTTCTGTCGGTTCCCTCCCTGCGAGACGTGAAGCTACAGGGAACCAGGCAGAGGGCCTTCTTGGCAGTGGTGCCTGCCCTGTGGAACGCCCTTTCATCAGATGTCAAGGAAATACAGTGGTACCTCGGGTTAAGAAATTAATTCATTCTGGAGGTCCATTCTTAACCTGAAACTGTTCTTAACCTGAAGCACCACTTTAGCTAATGGGGCCTCCCGCTGCTGCTGTGCCGCTGCTGCTTGATTTCTGTTCTCATCCTAAAGCATAGTTCTTAACCCGAGGTACTATTTCTGGGTTAGCAGTGTCTGTAACCTGTAGCGTCTGTAACCTGAGGTAGCACTGTAAACAACTAACTGACTTTTAGAAGACATCTGAAGTCAGCCCTGTTTAGGGAAGTTTTTTATGTTTGATGTTTTATTGTGCTTTTAATATTCTGTTGGGAGCCGTCC